CTGCGAAACATGTTATTCAAATGCAAAATCTACAATGCTGGAATATCTGATAACGGTATATCTTACTGTATAATTGCTACCTATACGCACGTGTCGATTTAACACGTTACGTGAGTTTCAACTGACGTTGGAACGATAAGTTGGGCACCGAAACGAAGGAAAGCTGCAAACTATTATATAAGAATATTTAAAAACTGACGTAAAACCTTGTTTGCTTAATTTTTCTGACAGACTATATTAGACAAAGTTTACTCAGAAACCTTGAGTCCAAACTTCAAGGAAATTTCCTCAAATGCAACGAATAATTCTTTTTTTATTTTAAAATTTTAATTGCAAAATAAATATTCTTCGAATCATTTCAAAATTTCTTTGCTAACGTGTTTAGATAATATGTGCAATTTTTATGCGCGATAAATGAGGGTTTTTTATTAGTGGGACAAATTTTATGCAATTTTTGACGAATTTGTATCGTCTGTGTAATCAGTAGACTGCGGATGTTTATGCATTTAGGGGGAATTTTAATTCTCAAGAAACTACAGAATGCACTTAACACTTTACCGACCGGTAACGGTTGATAAATCGGCTATCGGTCGGTAAGCGTTGGCCGGTAAAACAGTTGATTGATAGGCTCTCAGCCGGTAAGCGTTGGTCGGTAAAACAGTCGATTAATAGGCTACCGGTCGGTAAAGTGTTAACATGCACAAATATAAGAAATACTTATATTTAAGGGTTGAGACAATCATCTACAAAGCTCCCATTTTACTAATTCTATTAATAAAAATATGAATTTGCATAAAGATTCGCAGTCTAGTAATCAGTATTTCACACTCGACAGAAAGTTACAGAATTCAGCCTTCCATTTTCGCAAACTTTTATCGCCTCGCGTACAATGCTCCAATGTTACGTCAGCACATGCACATAAATGCTTCCAGTGACCTACATACATTCAAAATGTGGGTTCTATTGCTTATCTGAAACTATTTCCAAGTAAGGAAACACCTCAATGATAAAAAAAACATATATTCGTATCGTTCGCGAGATAATTAATGAAATATTTCTTTTAAAAACGATGGTTGATCATTAAGTAAATATTAAAGACGACATTGATTATGCAGATCAAAAGATTCAACTTACTTGATTCGTCTGTATCCAGTCACTCAAAAAGACTAGGAACTAGACTCAAAAACTCGATTACAAAAGTAGAGACTTGGTTACAAATTTTTTTATAAAATATCGAGTCAATATTCTTTGTAATTAACACATTACCGACCGATAGCCTATTAATCGACTTTTTTACCGGCCAACGCTTACCGACCGATAGCCTATTAATCAACTTCTTTACCGACCAACGCTTACCGACCGATAGCCGATTAATCAACCGCTACATGTCGGTAAAGTGTTAAATATAAAACACATTGATTATGCAGATTAGAAGATTCAATTAAATTCGTCTGTGTTCAGTCACTCAAAAAGATAAAAAAATTTGGTCACAAAAGTAAAGACTTGGTTGCAAAATTTTTTATAAAATATCGAGTCAGCAGAGTTTGGGTTATCCAGGAAGGCCGAGGTCTTTTTTATCTTGGCTTACGATCGAACTACGTGTACGTATAGCTTTCAACAAGAAGGTTGAATGGATAGTAAGAGTGAGAAAGATAGACAATAGCAAACGAGACTCTCATTACGTGAGCTTGGGTCGCCAAAAATTTCAAAGCGACAGTCTATGCATTTTGTTTTATCAATCACCAATGAAAATCAACTGTTTTTATATTTTTAATTACATACAGAACAAACAAATAATTCAATTGCGTGTAAATCAGACACTAAATTAATTAAATTAATTAAATTAATTAAATCTTGTTTCAAAACACTGTTTCAAAGCCTTTGAAGCATGTGTACGGACAACTAGAAAGATCGAACAATTTTTGACGACTTTTCACCAGAACAAAAGTATTTTTGCAATTATTTATATGAAACTTTAATGTAAAATGAGACCAAACAGCCTCCTTCGAACTATTTTTAATTAGACGTCCATTTTTGAAAATTTTTCAATTACATATAATTAAAAATTGTAAGAAAAAGGTCGTGTTTCTACTTATTTTCATCGAGAAAACTTCATCGATCCATTAACGATGCATTCCTAAATGTGCATTGGCAAATATAATTATTTCTATGTTCATAAATGGATGAAACATGATTTCGTATGCAACCATATGTTGATATTGGCAAATGAGTCGATTTTATTTAGAAATATTTGACTCATCGTTTTTCCTCATCGATGAAGTGGAATATTCCACTATATATCCAGTCATCAGCATTCGAATAATAAAATGCACTTTCGATCAAATTAATGATCCTCACCGCGACTCTGGTGATTCACTCTGCAAATGTTTCGACTGAAATTTGTTGCGTTGTGGGAATGTAGGTCGATCCATTATTGTCTGTAAGCTGATGTTATACCTGTAGCTGATTCGATCAAGGTTAGAGGACATACTGATAGAGATTCTCACGTTCGAGTTATAAGTTAGGATTAAGTCGAGTTAGGTTATTGATCGGAACTCGCCTTTTCACGTTGTTTACGTTCAAGTTATTTCATTTGGTCAATAAATTCGTTAAATAGAAATACAATCCAATCTAATCTAATTCGATTATATAATAAAATCTAGTAAAATGACTTTGCAATCGTTATTTTATTTGGTGAATAAATTGGTTAAATAGAAATACAATCCAATCTAATCTAATTCGATTATACAATAAAATCTAGTAAAATGACCTTGCAATTGTTATTTTATTTGGTGAATAAATTGGTTAAATAGAAATACAATCAAATCTAATCTAATTCGATTATACAATAAAATCTAGTAAAATGACCTTGCAATTGTTATTTTATTTGGTGAATAAATTGGTTAAACAGAAATATCATCCAACCTAATCTAATTTAATTATACAATGAAATCTAGTAAAATGACCTTGCAGTCGATGCAACATTAAACTGAAGAAAATCAAGAATTTTTCAGAAATTAATAACTTTTACAATGGAAATGAAACACACATAGGTAAAATTTCTAATACTAAAAGTAGAAATAAATGGAAATTGACAACATTTGTGAAGGTTCCACCGATGAAACACAAATTTAAAATGCTAGAATTTTAGAATTAGAATTACTAGACTTCGATTTTAGAAATTTAAATTCGATTATACAATAAAATCTAACAAAATGATCTTGCAGTCGATGCAACATTAAACTGAAGAAAAGAAAAAATTTTCCAGAAGTAAATAACTTTTACAATGGAAACGAAACACTAAAAGTACAAATAAATGGAAAGTGACAACACTTGTGAAGGTTTCACCGATGAAACACAAATTTAAAATGCTAGAATTACGAGACTTCGACTTTAGAAATTTAAATTCAATTATACAATGAAATCTAGTAAAATGACCTTGCAGTCGATGCAACATTAAACTCAAGAAAATCAAGAATTTTTCAGAAATTAATAACTTTTACAATGGAAATGAAACACACATAGGTAAAATTTCTAATACTAAATGTAGAAATAAATGGAAATTGACAACACTTGTGAAGGTTCCACCGATGAAACACAAATTTAAAATATTAGAATTTTAGAATTAGAATTACTAGACTTCGACTTTAGAAATTTAAATTCGATTATACAGGGTGTTCGGCCACCTCTAGCAAAAATTTTAATAAGCGATAGTTGAGGCCAAAATAAGACGAAAATCAAGAATACTAATTTGTTGATGGAAGCTTCATTAAAAAGTTATTAACAATTAAATTCAAAAATTTCATATCGTTCTGGAAAAATTATTTTCGGTTGCGGGGGTCAACTACAATCATTTTTGGTGAGTACACATACCTCCGAAATCCTATCTACTTTCGAGAAAAAAAATCGAGTAGGTGTTGAAATTTTTCGGCGAAAAAAAATTTTTCAAATCGTTCTAAAAAAATTATTTTCGGTTGCGGGGATCAATTACAATCATTTTTTATCATTACACATACCTCCGAAATCGTAAGCACTTTCGAGAAAAAAATTCCTTACTGAAAATCCAATTTGGTGCCTAAATTTTTCAACGGAGAAAAAAAATTGCAAATCGTTGTGGAAAAATTATTTTCGGTTGCGGGGGTCAATTGCAATCAGTTTTTGTCATTAGACATACCCACGAAATCCTGCCCACTTTCGAGAAAAAAAATAGAGAAGGTGCGAAATTATTCGAGAAAATTAAAAAATTGCAAATCGTTGTGGAAAAATTATTTTCGGTTGTAGGGTTCAATTACAGTCATTTTTGGTGAATAGACATACCCCCGAAATCTTGCGCATTTTCGAGAAAAAAATTCAGTAAGGGCGGCACTTTAAACGTTAATAACTTTTTAACGAAGCTTCCATCAACAAATTGGTATTCTTGATTTTTGTCTTACTTTGGCCTCTACTATCGCTCATTAAAATTTTTGCTAGAGGTGGCCGAACACCCTGTATAATGAAATCTAGTAAAATGACCTTGTTGTCGATGCAACATTAAACTGAAGAAAAAAAAGAATTTTCCAGAAATAAATAACTTTTACAATGGAAACTGTAAGAAATAGTGGATGCATGTGTGTGTGTGTGTGTGTGTCCGGAAAGACCGGAAAAAGGATTGAAAGGGAAGCGTGTACGCGTGGAGAGAAGGATATATTCGATAAGTGATTAATAAAAATATTATTAAAGTGTTGGTATTTTATTTGATGCGCGTCGTTTTATTAACCATCCTGGTCCAAGAATTACAAAACGAAACACACATAGCTAAAATGTCTGACATTAAAACTACAAATAAATGGAAAGTGACAACACTTGTGAAGGTTCCACATATGAAACACTAAAATATTAGAATAACGAGACTTTGATTTTAGAAATTTGAACGCTGAAAACGTTAATGAGACGCGTGGAAAATGGTATAGTGCATCGATCGTGATATTAAATGAAACTGTAATGCTTGTGTGTTGCAAAAGATGGTGGACGTAACGACAGCGCTACCATCCACCGGTGGAGCGTCCCTAATTGGACGCACCAGAGGTGCACTCAGGTCTGTCAGGTCTGCGCTGGGAGGCAGCGGAGAGTATCTTCAGGGTCTAGGAAGCAGAATAGGGTCCGCTTTAAGTAGCAGTTTAGAAGAAAGCGAGTTGACCACGAGCCCTTCGACGCCGTCCTCGTCGCCACAAGCACCACCTCAGACTGACAAACCGGAAGAACAGTTGTCTAGAAGAAAATTGAGGCCCCCCAGGTACGCTTCTGTTCCCCTAAATAGCCTCTGACACGATCGACACATTAACAATAGTTTAGTTAGTCTAGTCAGTTAATAGTATTCTTTTAATCTTTACTTCCAACATTCTCGCGAATCAAATTTAATTGCCCCGTTTTCTAAGTTTATTCTCAAATTATAATTTCAACACTGAATTTCGTTATTATTAAGGTTAGTAACGGTATCTTACATGATCTTTGTACCGTAACTTCCTTTTTTTCCCAATTTTTTTTTGAAATTTTCATGAAAAATTCAGTGATTCTACATATTAGGTCGTCGATGTATGAAATATTGGATTTTCTTATCTCTTGATATTATTAATGTATGTTACGATACATTGTCGGTGAATAATTATGCTAAAGTGGTTTTACTTGCTACCCAGATTAGGGCAGAAACTACTTCCACGTGAAATATTAACTAATTTTTGTTTTTTCAATTTATTTGTTTAAAGTCGCATCACCCGCTAAGGGTTATTAGCGACTCTAACTAATTTTGTAGACGCAAAAAGAGAAATATTTTAGTTCGTAGTTGGTCATCTGTGCATAGAATGTGCATACAAATTAGAAATATGAAATATCGTGAAGTATCAAACGTTTAGAATCGATTTTTAAAAAAGGTGACTCCATATGGGGGGTTTTAAAATTTTCTGCGACAAATTATTCTCACCGAAAAGAGCTGCAGCCTGTCAAAACTTGAATGCAACATATGGCGGAGGCAAAATTAATGAACAAACAATACGACGTTTGTTTGTCGAATTTCGTTCTGTTAATACGAACCACGACTGAATTATGTGAATTACGTTGACGACCAGTTTAATTAATTCTGTAACATGTTTGACTGTACGGAAAATTTGTGAAAAACTTGGCATAATTTCAGAATGTTTGACAAGTAATGGGACCGATACATTTTTGCATGGAATTATAACTTGCGATAAAAATAAATTGGTTCAAACGCTTATTAAATATTGAGACACCTGTAGAAGTCGAGTCTTCGCCCAAGGATGGTCATGGTGACTGTTTGGCATAGTGCAATTAGTATTGTTCGTTGTTACTTGAGATCAGGTGAGACCTTGATTAAATATTGCTAATATTATTCATCGAGCAACCTGCGTTAGATAATCGATATGGCGTAATAGTGATCTATGATCATTCCTGGCAGCATGTTGCACAGAGATCGAAGTGGAAAATAAACCAGTTCCGTTAGGAAACTATTCTGGATCTATCTTATTTCCTGTTTTTGGCACTAATTAGTACTTTTTCAAACAGTTAAATCACGCTTTAAAGAAAAAATCGTTGAAGGATTGAACTGGATTAGATAAATTAATCTAAATTTTAGATTTCAATTTAAAACAAAATTCAGCTAAATAAATTATTGTGAATTTTAGATTCAATTTAAAAAAAAAATTCAATTATATAAATTAATGTAAATTTTATATTCAAATTTAAAATAAAATTCAATCAAATAAATTAATGTAAATTTTAGATTCAACTCACATTAATTTTATTTAGGTTTACTACAAATTAACATTCAACTAAATAAATTAATGTAAATTTTAGATTCAAATTGAAATTTAAATCCAATCAAATAAATTAATGTAAAATTTTAGATTCAATTCCTAAGATTTATTCAACTCACATTAATTTTATTTAGGTTTACTACAAATTAAAATTCAGCTAAATAAATTATTGTGAATTTTATATTCAAATTTAAATTAAAATTCAATCAAATAAATTATAGTAAATTTAAAATAAAATTCAATCAAATAAATTAATGTAAATTTTAGATTCAAATTTAAAATAAAATTCAATCAAATAAATTAATGTAAATTTCAGATTCAACTCACATTAATTTTATTTAGGTTTACTACAAATTAACATTCAACTAAATAAATTAATGTAAATTTTAGATTCAAATTTAAATTTAAATTCAATCAAATAAATTAATGTAAATTTTAGATTCAATTCCTAAGATTTATTCAACTCATATTAATTTTATTTAGGTTTACTACAAATTAAAATTCAACTAAATTAATTATAATCGAATTTTAGATTCAAATTTAAATTTAAATTCAGCTAAATAAATTATTGTGAATTTTAGATTTAAATTTAAAATAAAATTCAATCAAATAAATTAATGTAAATTTTAGATTCAATTCCTAAGATTTATTCAACTCACATTAATTTTATTTAGGTTTACTACAAATTAAAATTCAGCTAAATAAATTATTGTGAATTTTAGATTCAATTTAAAAAAATATTCAATTATATAAATTAATGTAAATTTTATATTCAAATTTAAAATAAAATTCAATCAAATAAATTAATGTAAATTTTAGATTCAACTCACATTAATTTTATTTAGGTTTACTACAAATTAACATTCAACTAAATAAATTAATGTAAATTTTAGATTCAAATTGAAATTTAAATCCAATCAAATAAATTAATGTAAAATTTTAGATTCAATTCCTAAGATTTATTCAACTCACATTAATTTTATTTAAGTTTACTATAAATTAAAATTCAGCTAAATAAATTATTGTGAATTTTATATTCAAATTTAAATTAAAATTCAATCAAATAAATTATAGTAAATTTAAAATAAAATTCAATCAAATAAATTAATGTAAATTTTAGATTCAAATTTAAAATAAAATTCAATCAAATAAATTAATGTAAATTTCAGATTCAACTCACATTAATTTTATTTAGGTTTACTACAAATTAACATTCAACTAAATAAATTAATGTAAATTTTAGATTCAAATTTAAATTTAAATTCAATCAAATAAATTAATGTAAATTTTAGATTCAATTCCTAAGTTTTATTCAACTCACATTAATTTTATTTAGGGTTACTAGAAATTAAAATTCAGCTAAATTAATTATAAACGAATTTTAGATTCAAATTTAAATTTAAATTCAGCTAAATAAATTATTGTGAATTTTAGATTTAAATTTAAAATAAAATTCAATCAAATAAATTAATGTAAATTTTAGATTCAATTCCTAAGATTTATTCAACTCACATTAATTTTATTTAGGTTTACTACAAATTAAAATTCAGCTAAATAAATTATTGTGAATTTTAGATTCAATTTAAAAAAAAAATTCAATTATATAAATTCATGTAAATTTTATATTCAAATTTAAAATAAAATTCAATCAAATAAATTAATGTAAATTTCAGATTCAAATTGAAATTTAAATCCAATCAAATAAATTAATGTAAAATTTTAGATTCAATTCCTAAGATTTATTCAACTCACATTAATTTTATTTAAGTTTACTATAAATTAAAATTCAGCTAAATAAATTATTGTGAATTTTATATTCAAATTTAAATTAAAATTCAATCAAATAAATTATAGTAAATTTAAAATAAAATTCAATCAAATAAATTAATGTAAATTTTAGATTCAAATTTAAAATAAAATTCAATCAAATAAATTAATGTAAATTTCAGATTCAACTCACATTAATTTTATTTAGGTTTACTACAAATTAACATTCAACTAAATAAATTAATGTAAATTTTAGATTCAAATTGAAATTTAAATCCAATCAAATAAATTAATGTAAAATTTTAGATTCAATTCCTAAGATTTATTCAACTCACATTAATTTTATTTAAGTTTACTATAAATTAAAATTCAGCTAAATAAATTATTGTGAATTTTATATTCAAATTTAAATTAAAATTCAATCAAATAAATTATAGTAAATTTAAAATAAAATTCAATCAAATAAATTAATGTAAATTTTAGATTCAAATTTAAAATAAAATTCAATCAAATAAATTAATGTAAATTTCAGATTCAACTCACATTAATTTTATTTAGGTTTACTACAAATTAACATTCAATTAAATAAATTAATGTAAATTTTAGATTCAAATTTAAATTTAAATTCAATCAAATAAATTAATGTAAATTTTAGATTCAATTCCTAAGATTTATTCGACTCATATTAATTTTATTTAGGTTTACTACAAATTAAAATTCAACTAAATTAATTATAATCGAATTTTAGATTCAAATTTAAATTTAAATTCAGCTAAATAAATTATTGTGAATTTTAGATTTAAATTTAAAATAAAATTCAATCAAATAAATTAATGTAAATTTTAGATTCAATTCCTAAGATTTATTCAACTCACATTAAATTTATTTAGGTTTACTACAAATTAAAATTCAGCTAAATAAATTATTGTGAATTTTAGATTCAATTTAAAAAAATATTCAATTATATAAATTAATGTAAATTTTATATTCAAATTTAAAATAAAATTCAATCAAATAAATTAATGTAAATTTTAGATTCAACTCACATTAATTTTATTTAGGTTTACTACAAATTAACATTCAACTAAATAAATTAATGTAAATTTTAGATTCAAATTGAAATTTAAATCCAATCAAATAAATTAATGTAAAATTTTAGATTCAATTCCTAAGATTTATTCAACTCACATTAATTTTATTTAGGTTTACTACAAATTAAAATTCAGCTAAATAAATTATTGTGAATTTTATATTCAAATTTAAATTAAAATTCAATCAAATAAATTATAGTAAATTTAAAATAAAATTCAATCAAATAAATTAATGTAAATTTTAGATTCAAATTTAAAATAAAATTCAATCAAATAAATTAATGTAAATTTCAGATTCAACTCACATTAATTTTATTTAGGTTTACTACAAATTAACATTCAACTAAATAAATTAATGTAAATTTTAGATTCAAATTTAAATTTAAATTCAATCAAATAAATTAATGTAAATTTTAGATTCAATTCCTAAGATTTATTCGACTCACATTAATTTTATTTAGGTTTACTACAAATTAAAATTCAACTAAATTAATTATAAACGAATTTTAGATTCAAATTTAAATTTAAATTCAATCAAATAAATTATAGTAAATTTAAAATAAAATTCAATCAAATAAATAAATGTAACTTTTAGGTTAAGTTCACCGATAACGATTATTACAAATTATAGAAACGTAAAGTTTTTCTAGAAAATTCGACATTTCATAGGAACAATTGGATTGTTTAGAGGAAAAAATAAACACGAAAGAAATAATAAATGAAACGACAATTTTAAAATCGAGTTTCACAAAAATAATTAAGCAACATAATGATTAAACAAACCTTACCATGCCTGTGTTTTTATGTTCTAAATAACTATTTTGTGTTTGTTAAAAATGGGATGAAAATCACTTATATATTATTACTTAGAATTTTTCTCTTTTTTTTTTTTAAAAAAAGGAGATAATAATATGAGGCAATATCGCGCCACTTTTGTAGACTGAAAAAAAGATTTCGAAGGTATTAGAAGAGATTAGAAGAGAAGTACGTTGGTACACAATTGTTAGAATGATTTCTACATAAAATCCCTGATTTTTTTTTTTATTATTTAGTTATCGAACTAAAATTTAAAAGATTCTACGACGCTGTATCGACTCTGCAATTGCAGATGCAGTTTATCCCCGTTCTTCGATCGGAAAAGCTGCTTCCTGAATCGATACGAGGCAATCTCATATCGCTACTTGCCATTTCACATTTTACCATTATATCAAACTCAAAACCAGAATATATTTTATATCGAAACTACGATTACTATACAACCAACCTACCCTCTGCATTTTCTTCGAAATCACCACGAGATGCTTCTCAAATATTCAATAGAAAACAATATATGTTTAATTATTGCACTTTTCTAATGTTTGTTGTCCAAATGTGCCAGATAATGTGTCACACTTTAACAAATATTATTTGTTAAGTACAATAGATACTGCTACGTTAACACTTTACCGACCGATAGAATATTAATCGACTGTTTTACCGGCTAACGCTTACCGACTGATAGCCTATTAATCAACTGTTTTACCGACCAACGCTTACCGACCGATAGCCGATTAATCAACCGCTACCGGTCGGTAAAGTGTTAAAGTCATTTTATTTTAAATTTGAACACTATTATACATTTTTTATTTTTATATCATTTACATTGTTTTGAACTACTTTAATCACTGATGCTAATTCTATGTAAAAAAGAAAGCCAAAAAAATGAAATTTACTTCCATTAAAATGAAATCAGTTGTGTTATTTATATTAATATTCGTTGTGGTATAATTCTATAAATTAGAATTCTGCATTTTCTGTGAAATAACAAACTAACCCAGAAAAAATTTCTCTGCAAGCAGAAAACCTTCGTTAAACAAAAGAAGAGTGAAAAGTTCGTTGAAAACCTTGACTCTATCCTATGTTACGTTTCTACCGTTTGCTTCGTGTTTAAAAAAAGGTTGAATTCAACGATGAAATGAAAACCGATCGCGTGATCTATGAGAAAAGTCTCGTGGGATGTCGTATATCAGTGTCATCGTTGTTCAGATTCGGAACTGGATTGTCGTACGAGGATTACGAGGCGATCGCGAGGCACAAACTGGAGCGGCAAGGTAGCGCCAATATGTCGAGGTGCGCGAGGAAATATCCCCCGGGGATGACCTACGAGGAAATAGCATCCTCGAGGACAGCAACGAACAAAAAGCAAGAGAACAAAATCGAGGAAGATAATAGCCCGGATAGAGACAGCCAAGAGAGCATAGAACCTCTTCAGGAAAAAGACATCAAAGCCACGGGACCTGACCCGTACGACAAATTAAATTATAAAGCAGGTGAGCCATAAAAACACATTTCCTTTCTATTTTTTTAAGAAACTTCTACTTGCATCCATTTAGTATATCTCAAAGTAAGTGAAAGGGCTGTTACTGAGCATTCTTTCGAAAATCAACTGTTTTTAAGTTACGAAATGAAGGATTTACAAGCAAAATCAACTGGTCATTAATAGAGAACTATGAGAGAAACTTCTTATATCTCTGAATACTTTTCTTTTCAATTTGATGAGCACTGGAACGCATGCATAGTTGGCTGACAAACTAACTAACTAACTGACAAAGGAACTAACTAACTGTAAACAATCTAACTATATGCAAACTAGCTAATTAACTGTGAAGCTAACTTGGATTTGTTGGGTGGATTGCTAAATGGATTTCTAAACACCCCTAATTCACTCTTGATGTTTTCGTAATTTCCAACGTAAGGACAATGTTAAAAATAGGTCAATTTTGGCATCGACGACCAAAGAATAATTCTTTGATCGATTTTATACCTTCCAAGAAACAAAAAATGCATTGGCCATTTTTCCGAGAAGTGGCGGGAAAGTTGCGAAAAATTAGGCCAAAGTGCAAGAATATGGCTGACAAGGAACCATCGCGAACGGTCCGGCTTCGATTTTGATGAAACTTTGTACACTTATAAAGCAGCCAAAAATAATCGACACGTATTTTTTTTTAGCTGCGGTAACTCGAGTTTAAGGGGTGAAACCACCCCTTGAAGTTTTGGCACGAAACGGCTATCTCGAAAACGGAAAGACGTACAAAAAAATTGTTAATGGGCGAGGTTGATGGTTTCTTATGTACAATAACATGGTGTTAAAAAATTTTAAAAAATACAATTTGTTTATAACAAAAAAAAATTTATTAACTTAATTTTTCATTTTATTGAAATTTTCATAGTGACAAAACATGACGAGCATTTTATTCCAAATCCATTGGTATGCGATTTTTTAAAATTGCCTCCTACAGTTTTGCAGATTTTGATGATTTACATCTTGCGCGCACATCCATTATGGTAGTAGCCGTTCTAACTTTGATTTTAATGAAGCACTGTAGGCTCGCACTACATCTAGAGGACAAAATCGGGAAAAATACAAGAATACCAATTTGTTGATGGAGGCTTCGTTAAGAAATTATTAACGTTTAAAGTTCCGCCCGTACTGAATTTTTTTTCTCCGAAATGCCCAAGATTTCGGGGGAATGTGTAATGACCAAAAATGATTGTAATCGACCCCTGCAACCGAAAATAATTTTTTCAGAATGGTTTGAAATTTTTTAATTTTGTTGAAAAATTTCACACATTCTCGAATTTTTTTCTCAAAAGTGCGTAGGATTTCGGGGGTATATATATTGACCAAAAATGATTGAAATTGACTCCCGCAACTGAAAATAATTTTTTTAGAACGATTTGAAATTTTTTTTTTTCGCTGAAAAATTTAGGCACCTACGCCCTGTCGATTTTTCTTAAAAATTCGTTTTCCATTTTTAATAATTTTATTTGACGCCCTACAAAAAAGTTGGCCAATACTTTTTTGTAGGTACCTATGAGCTCTGCTTCAGAAAAAAGTTTCATTGAAATATATTCACTATTGTAGGAATTATGGCTGTTTGAAGATTGGACCATTTTTATGGGGTTTTTCTCATTTTGCGGGGTCAAGGATCAACTTTTTGCATATTTTTTAAATTTCCATATATTCTTTACCAAAATACGCGTTATTTGCCTTTTTAAACATTAAAATCCTTCAATCCATTCAGAAGTTATGATGTTTTAAAGAAAATTCAGGCAGACATTTCTGACCAGTGAATTATATTTTGGGTGAGGAATTTTTTTCTCGAAACTGAGTAAGAATTCGAGGGTATGTGTATTCATCAAAAATAATTGTAATAGACCCCCTCACCCGCAAATAATTTTTTCAGGACGATTCGAATTTTGTTTTTGCCAAAAAAAGCTACCCCCTGTCGTTTTTTCTTAAAAATTCGTTTTTCATTTTTAATAATTTTGTTTGACGCCCTACAGAAAAGTTGGCCAATACTTTTTTGTAGGTACCTATGAGCTCTGCTTCAGAAAAAAGTTTCATTGAAATATATTCACTATTGTAGGAATTATGGCTGTTTGAAGATTGGACCATTTTTATGGGGTTTTTCTCATTTTGCGGGGTCAAGGATCAACTTTTTGCATATTTTTTAAATTTCCATATATTCTTTACCAAAATACGCGTTATTTGCCATTTTAAACATTAAAATCCTTCAATCCGTTCAGAAATTATGATGTTTTAAAGATTCGCATGAAAATTCAGGCAGACATTTCTGACCAGTGAATTATATTTTGGGTGAGGAATTTTTTTCTCGAAACTGAGTAAGAATTCGAGGGTATGTGTATTCATCAAAAATAATTGTAATAGACCCCTTCACCCGCAAATAATTTTTTCAGGACGATTCGAATTTTGTTTTTGCCAAAAAAAGCTACCCCCTGTCGTTTTTTCTTAAAAATTCGTTTTTCATTTTTAATAATTTTATTTGACGCCCTACAAAAAAGTTGGCCAATACTTTTTTGTAGGTACCTATGAGCTCTGCTTCAGAAAAAAGTTTCATTGAAATATATTCACTATTGTAGGAATTATGGCTGTTTGAAGATTGGACCATTTTTATGGGGTTTTTCTCATTTTGCGGGATCAAGGATCAACTTTTTGCATATTTTTGCGATTTCTACGTATTCTTGATCAAAATACGCGTCGTTTGCATTTTTGAAAATTAAAATCCTTCAATCCGTTTAGAAGTTATGTAATTTTCGGACAACATTTCTGGCCATAAATTACATTTTCGATTAGGAATTTTTTTCTCGAAAGTGCGTAGGATTCCGTGGGTATATGTATTGACCAAAAATGATTGTAATTGGCCCCCGCAACCGAAAATAATTTTCTCCTGGAGGATTTGAAATTTTCTAATTTAATTTTTTAATAACTTTTTAACGAAGGCTCAATCAACAAATTGATATTCTTGATTTTCGTCTTATTTTGTCAGTCATATTCTTGCACTTTGGCCTAATTTTTCGCAACTTTCCCGCCGCTTCTCGGAAAAATAGCCAATGCATTTTTTGTTCCTTGGACGGTATAGAATCGATATGTCAAAGAATTATTCTTTGGTCGTCAATGCCAAAATTGACCTGTTTTTAACATTGTCCTTTATAATTGACTTTGCAAGGATACATTTCTACTACTTTTCAACCTCGAAACGATCTATTTTTTTCGTACAATTACGTATGTATGCTATGTTCAGCATGTTTTTGTATAATACATTTCGTTTTTTTGTTTTTTTCCCACAAAGCAAGGGCCCCGACCCGCTATCAGACGGTCGTTTTTCGTTTAGGTAAATGAACGTTGATGTGAACGTATTGTGAACCACCCTGGGTCCTCCCCCTCACAAGAACCCCCTGTACCTCAATTTCGAGTTACATCGAGAGAAAAGTTTCAGAATCGATATTTCAGAATAAAATATCAGAGAAAATACAGTGGAAACTTTTCTGTCGACGCGAATAAATAAATAGTGTATTTAGATTCCCTCAAAGTCTGTGACCCTTGGTGGAAAATGTCCCTTTGTACGCTTTCATGTAAGTTCACCTTCATTAAAATTATCAATGGTGTAAGTTGATATTCGTTGTGGTGTCTGTAAATTAGAATTCGTGAAAAGTCCTCGCTTTTTAGTGACCAGAGGCAAAGGTAAAGAAAATGTCTATACACAATGGAAAAAAGAATTTTCAAACAAAAGTTTCTTCTCAAAACTAGATTTAAAAAAATTACATAAATTTTATGAACAAAAGTCGCTCGTTTTTAGAGTTTTCATTTTTCATTCTTAATCTCTGATTAAAATAGTTGAAAACAATATAAGCAATATTTTTTAGTTTATTGTATTTGTCAATAGTCCAGCAGCTAGGAGAAGCAATGTTTTTTCAAATATTCGATAGAAAACAATATATTTTCTAATGTTTTTATTTTACATTTGAACAGTAAACAGAGGAGGAAAAGAACAGGAAAAATTTGCACTAAAAAAATATTATTTACATTGTTTTGAACTACTTTAATCACTGATAATGATTCCATGTAAAAAAGGAAGCAAAAAATTGAATTTATTTCCATTAATATAATTATAAATGGTGTTACTTGTAAATAACTAAATTAGATTTCTTGAAAGGCCTCACTTTTTAGTGAACAGAGGCAAAGTTAAAGAAAATTTGTGAAAATACAAGTACACATAATCGATTCACCGTAACCAAGCATTTAAATTTTAGAATATGACAAAATACACTTTTATAGTCTATGTAAATCGTATTTGTTCATAAAGAACAATCAAAAGTCGTCCATACTAATTAAATTATTATCAATCAACAATTTTTTAACGTAACTTCAGAAACACTTCATGGTTTCAATTGTCACTGTTTGCAATTGTCACAGTAGTGCATTCTATTAAATTTGAAGGTAATGTCTGCTCTGTTAGGTGTGCACTGTGTATCTCGAACCTCTAAAACGCAAGAATTTGCGCTTATTCGACCACAATCCGTTCCTAAATTGTGTGAATAGACCTCTACTGTCTAATAGTAAGGTAGCATCACTGTACCTTCCCTGTTTGTGTATACATGTCTCAAACATTAGTTTAGACACATCCCCGAAGGTGTCGAAGCAACAAACTTGACGTGGCACAAGCACTAAATTGGAGTATTAATTAGGAGAGTAGATACATTAGAAGATCAATTAGAAGAGAGTTTCCTGCAGAATGTTGTTTCAGATATGCCATGCAGCAGCGACTCGTTGAGCGATCAGGATGGCTATGGGCCTAGCACGAGTCTAGATTCGAACATGGATGGTCGTCGAATGTGGCACAGATCAGGTGAGATCAATCGAAACGGAAGAATCTTCGTCGAAAATCGAATTATGATAATATCTGCACAGCTGACTTAACAAAATAAGAAACTAATTGGTTATAGAGGAGAATTCATATTGTGTATTATATTGTATTAACACATTACCGACCGATAGCCTATTAATCGACTGTTTTACCGACCAACGCTTACCGACCGATAGCCGATTAATCAACTGTTTTACCGACCAACGCTTACCGACCGATAGCCGATTAATCAACCGCTACATGTCGGTAAAGTGTTAATATAGTTTTCTAAATGAATTGTAGCGTAATCAATCTTGGGAACAAAAGTGTTCAGCTACTGAAGTAATTAAAATCCAAATTTTTGTACACAAAAACTTCAAATTAATGTACACAATGGATATTACACGTAATAAAATTTTAACAATAATTTTACGTAAATATCTATCGTATAACGTGGATATTTAAGATATCAGTCTCTGTCAATAGAGTCATTTATAAGTAATGCTTATAAATTAAAAAGAATTGAATCCAGAAAAAATGATTTTTAAATGCGTTCTATCGTTCTTCGGTTTTTATGATTTTGTATTTATAATTTAGGTTCATCGGGATCCGTCCAATCGTGGGCTTCTAGTTTATCGGCCGACAGCCAATCGGAAGAAGCTGCCGCAGACTTTATGAAAACCTTCGTGCCTCTTTTATTCGACGCTCCGAACAGTATTGATCAAGAACAGAAGGCAAACTTCGGTCAAATGGTTCTCGTACGTATCGCTTAATTAAATTTCGTGAACAAATATCGATGAGAGCTATTTACCCAGGTGTTAGGGAATCGATTTCATTCTTGAAACACGATTGTAGAGACGAAAATCTAAGAAACATCCTTTTCTTTGTACCAGATTTCAAATTGAAAATAAAAAAAAAAAAACAATATTAGAAGACACTAATTGGCATTCCATAAATAATAAATTCCACAAATACTCGTATTTTATAGATTGTAAATCGAACAAGTTATTGTTAATTTCATAAATGACAAAGGGGGGGAGGGGGGCAAGAAGAACTAAAAGCGACAGAAAAGTTGAAAGTAGCCATTTCATTAAGGTACCATTCTCCTTTTCTTCTTCGATTATCATAATTATTATTTAGCAACAAAGTGAAAATTTTATTTATTATATTCGATGCACAAATGATAGTTGTGACATGGAAATAAATTTGAGATTGAGAATAAATATAAAAATACGTCTCCTGGATTATTTTTGTCAATAAAATCAATATCGACCAGTTACCAACATTTGGGTATTATAAAAGTCGCAAATTATTTATGTTAAATTTATTTTAAGTTTATCATTTTCTATCTAAATTCATGAAACTCTTTAATATATATCTATTTGGCAAAATTGAATAAAATTTCACATTAAAATTACACATGCATTAATTGCACAATATTTAGGTAATTATTACATGTTTTAATTGTAATTACAAATGTTTAAAATGAAATCGAGTAAAGTGGGATAATTCCTGGCTATTTAAACAAACTTTGTTATCAAATTTGAATAAGTTAGACATTTTTTAGCTGTTCCCATATATTAAATAATATTTAGAATTTTAAATTGTAACAAAATTCAACCTTTAAGACAAAAAGAAGGTCAAAAATATAATTGTGCTATTTTATCTATTATCATCTTTCCCTTAGTAATTATCTCTATAGTCTTTAATAAGTCTTCATGGCTTCATTTTGCTATTTTCAGAACTCCCTTATGTTTTTATTGATTTTATGTTTAAAAAACAACAATGTTAAAATCTGGCTGGAATTAGCCCCCCATTTTGATTTAGGTATTTGAAATAATACACCAAATTAAATTTAAATATTACTAAAAACCAAATGTGAATTTAAAAGCAGAGATCTTTCTCTATTTAATGAAATTAATATTAAATAAAATTTGTGTCAATTCGAATTACTAATTTATCTTAAATATCGACCATCGTTACAATGTTATATACGAAACTGAACACTCAGGGATTAGCCCCCCATTTTGATTTAGGTATTCGAAATAATACACCAAATTAAATTTAAATATCACTAAAAACCAAATGTGAGTTTAAAAGCAGAGATCTTTCTCTATTTAATGAAATTAATATTAAATAAAATTTGTGTCAATTGCAATTACCAATTTATATTAAATATCGACCATCGTTACAATATTATACAGGGTGTTCCCTTAACTTTTGCCCACCATTTTTCGAACACTTCCGTTAATCTGACAAAGAAATGTTTCCAACAAAAGTTTATCAATGTCTTATGTACTAAAAGATAAAATAGTGAATTTAAAAAAATTATTATTTTTTCAATAAGAAATCGTGGACAACTTGATTTTTTTAAATAGCATTGCATATTTTTTACTTTACATTATTATAGCTTGTCTTAAGACGAATTCAACGACCTGCTATAGCATGACCTTCGGATGACCTTGAACTGAAAAAAGCTCGAAAAAAGGTGGGCAAAAGTTAAGGAAACACTCTGTATACGAAACTGAACACTCATTAATAATGATTAATTTAAAATAAAAATGACAAAAATCTGGAAAACGACGAGCATTAACTAGTCAGATAATTAACTTTGAGGAACAAAGATCGCCAGGAATTACCCTCTTAACACATTACCGACCGATAGCCTATTAATCGACTGTTTTACCGGCCAACACTTACCGACCGATAGCGTATTAATCAACTTCTTTACCGACCGATAGCCGATTAATCAACCGCTACCGGTCGGTAAAGTGTTAATACAGTCTCTTAATACATTTGCAGTTCATATACACTTGAAGAGTGATAAATAAGAGACATGTAAATGTTTTACAGACAGAATCTGGCAGAATATGGTTCTCCCGAGTAGTGAACGCAAGGAGAGCTAGACCCTGCGTGACAGAAGCCTCGTTTTACTCGTTGGCCCAACATTTTGCAGTGGCGCTCTTCGAATGCCACGAGGCTGACGATTTTGCACCCGCGAAAAGTCTCATGAACATGTGTTTCACGTTTTACCACGAAGGTAACTCATTTCTCATTCATGCATCGACAAAAAACTTTGAACTTTGAACCCACGTGTTTGGAACAGTTGGAGTACCAGGATTGGAGCCATATCGAGAATACTTGTACACGCATCTACGAGTACAACCAATATGGACGTCGATGAGATTTTGGACTGCAGCCTTTTTCGACGCTGTCCAATGCGAGAGAGCTTCGAGACCTGTTCCCCCGAGGCCGAAATCCCTCGATCAGGAAGCCATAGCTGCTGAGGATCGTAGATTTCAGGCTAACATTGTTTTCGGGCAACTCGGGTAAATGCATTTGTTAAAAACCATTTCCAGACTGATTAGCCCATGTTCTGTTTGCCAGAATGATCAAATTATACATTTTTAAGGTCAACGTTCTCGAGATGAACCTAACGTTTCCAATTTTCAGGACCTTCACGTGTAATATGCACGCGTTTGGACTTTCTCGGGCTCTCTGCTTGGAATTTCTCAGAAAGCAATGTGTAATTGCTAATCTAACGAAAGGTAAACTCATTAGAAAAGCAACTTAAGTCTAATTAAACCAAAATTAACCAGTGAAAATTTATTCGTTCCTTTCAATATTAAATATTAATGCATGTTTCGAAAGAAGTTTGGAACAAGTATAACACAGCTTGTCTTCCAAACTATAGTCATTCAAAATGATTCTAATATATTCTTTGAACTCTACTTTTGGTAATCTGTGATTTCAAAATTATTAATATAATAGCGTTTAATAAAAAATATCAAATCCTTCTATAACACTTTTAATCCGTTTAACAACCATTTAAATAGAATTTTTCGATGTTGCAGAGCAAGAGAAAATGTTGAGAGACAACATAGAGCGAATGTTCGATGAGACTGAACCCTGGCGGTAGTTTTCCTTCGTCTTGAACTAACAAGTCACGGAAAGAGTTTGACCAAAAGATCTTCGACTAAAACCACGATCCGAAAACAAGATCCACGCGACGTCAATTAAAAGAAATCTCCAGCTGAGAGCGGAACGTGCGATTCTCGATTAAAAGGAAGTCAATTGCATTACGAAACGGTGCAAAATTAACTCTGAGATCAGAGAACACAGCCTGTTCCTAAGCTTAACTAGACAGAACTATGGAAATTCGAACGTATTAGAGATACGATGAGAAATTATAAATGAGATTCCATAATTACAATGTATCCGTCATATATCAATTAATTTATTATATCGTAACTACCGTGATTATGGAATCGCAATTATATTTCCATTTAGGAGGACGTTTTTAATCGAATCGACTCACTTGCTTGAGTCTCTTTGTTGGATTTGATTGTTCGATAACATCGTAAGAACGCGGGCCACGCGAGGTGATAAATAAACCGAATTCAAGAACTATTTTGATCATTGAAACAGAATTGTTCGATTTATTGTAACTGACCAGACATCCGTATTCCAATCGTACTTAAATAGTTAAGCATAAACGGACAATAAATTTTGCGAAACGAACTCGTGATATTGGTAATTACCTACGATAATCAACGGCGATATATTTCTGTATGGAAGAAGGAATCGTTTCACATTCTCGCAATGTGGAAGTGTATGGCTTTTAACACTAAACCTAACGACACTTCATAGATAATCATTTCTACCATGATCGGTCAAATGATCAGTATTTCTTTTTCTCTTTTACGAGGAAACGTACTTCTAATTTTTGCATTATACAGGGTGTTCAACTAACCCTGAGAAAAATTTTAATGAGAGATTTCAGAGGCCAAAATAAGTTGAAAATCAAGAATATTCATTTATGACTGAGGCTTTGTTAAAAAATTTCAAATCATTCTGAAAAAATTATGTTTGGTTGTAGGGGTCAATTACAATCATTTTTGGTCAATAGACATAACCCCGAAATCCTAACCATTTTTGAGAAAAAAATTCGGGAAGCTGTGAAATTTTTCAAGAAAATTAAAAAATTTCAAATCAATCTGAAAAAATTATTTTTGACTGCTGGAGTTAATAACAATCATTTTTGGTCAATAGACATAACCCCGAAATCCTAACCATTTTTTAGAAAAAAATTCGGGAAGGTGTGAAATTTTTCAACAAAATTACAAAATTTCAAATCGTTCTAAAAAAATTATTTTTGTCTGCTGGAGTTAATTACAATTATTTTTGGTCAATAGACATAACCCCGAAATCCTAACCATTTTTGAGAAAAAAATTCGAGAAGGTGTGAAATTTTTCAACAAAATTAAAAAATTTCAAATCGTTCTAAAAAAATTATTTTTGGTTGCAGGGGTCAATTACAATCATTTGTTATCAATAGACATACCCTCGAATTCCTATCCACTTTCGAGAAAAAAATTCGGGAAGGTGTGAAATTGTTCAACAAAATTCAGAAATTTCAAATCGTTCTAAAAAAATTATTTTAGGCTGCTGGGGTCAATTACAATTATTTTTTATCAATAGACATACCCCCAAATTCCTATCCATTTTCTAGAAAAAAATTCGAGAAGGTGTGAAATTTCTCGATAAAATTCAAAAATTTCAAATCGCTCTAGAAAAATTATTTTTAGTTTCGGGGATCAATTACAATAATTTTTGGTGAATAGACCTACCCCCGAAAATCGTCCCACTTTCTAGAAAAAAATTCAATATGAACGGAACTTTGAATGTTAATAACTTTTTAACGAAGCCTCTATCAACAAATTGTTATTCTTGATTTTCGTCTTATACTAGCCTCTAGAATCTCTAATTACAATTTTTCCCAGGAGTGACCGAAGTTGTGCTTCGATTTTTATTCGTAAGATATCCTTCTCTTTGATATGAAAAAATTTTTTAATTTTCATCTAATAGAAGACAAAACGCCCTTGAAAACGAATTTTGTTTGAAGTCGATACCGTAGTTCGTTCTAGAGAAAAGAATTATTTAAGAAAAAGTACTGGCTAGTAATTACGCAAACATCCTGTATTTAAATTTAAACTAATTTTCAATTAAATAAACAATTTGTGATCAGTCGTATGATTAGTAGGAATTGCTGAAACTTCTTTGGGTATGTAGCGTCAAAGTAAATGCAAAAATAAACATGGAAGACAGCATAAATAATGATACTTGATACAGCCATCGGATAGGGGATGTAATGCCCTTTAAAATGAGCGTTTGTGCGAGTCGATAGCTTTATTAGTTCCGGAGATATAGCGATTTTAGTTTCAAGTCGATCGCGTCAAAGTAAATTGCAAAATAAACATAGAAGATAGCATAAATTATAATAGTTTGTATAGTCATCAGATAGAGGATGAAATGCCCTTTAAAACGAGCGTTTGTACGAGTCGATAGCTTTATTAGTTCCGGAGATATAGCGATTTTAATTTCAAGTCGATGCGGTGGCTAGTTTCTTAGATACGAGGGTCCGAAGCCTTTGTTTACGTTCATTGTTATGAATGAACTCGCGCGCGTAAAATAGTAAACATTGCGTAGTAAATTTTTGGAAATACTACGCGGAAGTAGGTCACGACAGTCACGACTCACGTGCGACAAAGAGGTCCAAGCGCGACGCGTCAGACGAAGACAGAGATAGTCAAATTAAGAAAAATACCCCTTTACATAAATTACGATATCTCGAAAACGGATAGTCCGATCGACAAAAACCAAAAAGCGTTTTAAAGGGGAAGGTTCACCGCTGCCAACAGTGGTTCGATAATTAAGAAAACCCTAGTAGTTTCGGAACTGCACGCGTCCAAAGTTTAACTATTTTTAATACGCGTTAATAGCCTTGTCTAACATGGGGAAGCGAGAGACAGCGGAATTTAAAAAATTACCTTTTACATAAATTACGATATCTCGAAAATGGAAAGTCTGATCGACAAAAACCAAAAGCCATTTTAAAGGGGAGGCCTTGCCACTTCTAACGATGGCTCAATAATTAATAAAACCCTAATAGTTTCGGAACTGCACGCGTCTAAAGTTTAACTATTTTTAATACGCATTGTTAGACTTTTCTAAGACAGTAGGCACTAAAGATTCTCTTCTGTCATCTTTGCTATCTATTTTCTATTTACATCGGAAGCTAACCAGAATTTGGTACCAAATTTTGTCCAGTTATTTACAAAAAAAATATAAATCATTTGACCGGTCGTGGTAGACAAGACTACATATTTTTCTCAGAAAACAAACAATAAGAATACATATAAATATTGTAAAATTCATTGTACGTATACTATAAGAAAAGTCGTGAAGTTAAATGGCGGTAAAATAATATTGTGTGTTAAAAATTCTAATCGAAATTTTAAAAACGATAACTTGATCGTTCGCGGTAGGTTTAGTGTTAATACGGAATGTAAATGAAGAAGCATAATAGAATAGATTAGAAATAATAGTTACCACTTTCGAAAGAAATACTTCCACTTGTTTTGTAATTTCAAGTAGAGTCAGAATATGTTAAAATATATCAGATAGTAGTTTGCACGGTATTTGTTGCCGATACTTTTTCGAACGTTACGTTCTAGTAAACAATTTAGCGAATTTCTATAACAATTACTTCATTCTACTTGCAGCTATTGTTGCAACAAATTCTTATAAGCGACGCAGAAATCGATTAGAAAATTAAAAACCTATTCCCATCTAACAGATAATCCCCAACTCGGAGATTTAAAAAATTCAGGAACTGTGAATTGCTCAAATTCACTATAAGGATTAGAAATTCATCTTGAAATATTTGGCTATTTTTTATTTTCCTGTAACTTGGAAACTATAAACGATAGAAAAAAGAATTTTCAAACAAAAGTTTCTTAAAACTACATTTATCGTTTGATGAATGATTTGTCAATTTTTTAAAACAATTATATAAATGTTGCAAACAAAAATCGATCGTTTTTTAAGTTTTTATTTTTAAAAACAATATCTTTTAGAGAAGCTATGTTTTTCAAATATTCAATAGTAAATAATATACGTTTAATTATCCCAATTTTTTAATAATGAAAGATAAACAATATCTTTCAGAGAAGCTATGTTTTTCAAATATTCAATAATAAACAATATACGTCTAATTATCCCAATTTTCTAATGTTCTTTTCTCCAAATGTGCCAGATCATGTATTACACTTCAAAAAATATGTATTAATTACAATAGATACTACTACGTTAAAGTGATTTTATTTTATATTTGAAGAATAAGCAGAGAAGGAACACAACAGGAAAAATTTGTACTAAAAAGATATTATTTACATTGTTTTGAACTACTTTAATCACTAATGATGATTCTATGTAAAAAAGAAAGCAAGAAATTAAAAGAGAATGTTATTTTTGGTTTCTAACACTTAATCGCTTGTTTTAAATATTGACGAATCATGTATCAAATGATAGATCTAGTTTTGAGAAGTGAGTTTTCTCTAAAAACTCATTTTCTATCTTGTATATTTGAGAGTGAATTTCTACATCCCTTAAAATGAATTTGGGCAGTAAAAAATATCTATTCATATACAGTCTATATACTTCCAAGATTTCAGAGTTTGTTGAATTTCTGAATTGAGGATCGTCGCTTTAAGTCGACCATGATACTTTGCAAACATTGTCTCGAAACTGGTTCACAGATCTTCATTGATAAGCTATGCGAATTTCCTTTAACGGCATTCATGTAAATATGTAACGCACGAGTTTGTATTTAAAGACATATCATGAAATTCAAGCGGCGCACTATTTTATTTTGTATATCTGCCTGCACTCTCAGCGAAAATTGTTAGCGTACATTAATAAACTACTTTGCCACAGTGATAAAGTTGACTAATATAACAAACACATTTCATTAATAGATTTAGGTTATTCTCAATAATTAAAGTAAATTATACGAGTACTTTCGTAACTTTTGGCACCTAACGCAGTGATGGATAAAAGATATACCCTAATAAACGCCCCCTACTTGTTCTCGTTTCACAATTATGACCATTTTTGTGTTCCAGTAATGATAATTACCATCTTCCGCTCGAATTTAAAACTATAATCGTCGTATCATAATGTTTCTCAACCTTTCAAATATTCCAGGTATTTTAGCAATTTTAAAATGGTTTTAAGCCTCAAAATTCAGCTGTTTCAAGTCTAAACTAACTACTTGCTCGAAATGAGACGGTGTACATGTTTAAAACACATGTGACGTATGAGGCGTAAGGAAATTATTTTCCTTCTTTTATTGTGATTACTTTTGAATTGACAAGAGAACCATTTAAAAAGTCGTTACCTGCATTAACATTGATCTAAAAAATTTTGGTCAAATTGTATGATAGTAACCACAAACGAGGATAGACCTTTTACCTTATAAACTCTCATGGCTCAATCTGACTGCCATTCCAACTTGAAAATTCGGAGGCGATTTTAGCAGCCTCTTCTCATGGATAGCGGTCAGTTGAGAAACTCACTGAATTAATGCGATAGGTAGCAGCTATCGTACGAATTATTTGCGATTCCTTGACTAGTTAAAGTTGTAAATAATTTGCTAAAAATCAGTCTATCCGCGGTTTCTATCTAAGCCATCACTCGGGTTCGTAAGGCAAGCTTCGGGAGACATCGGAGCTTCCCCCACCACGCCGCCGAATGCGCGAGCATTCCCGAGCAGTGCCGAACACATCGAGCGGCCATCATTCCTACTTCGACGTCAAGACTTAACGGTGCTCCGCGACCGAGGTGCGTATTTCTAACCTGTTGCTCTTTCCAATATTACTACTCGCGTTCTAATTACGAAATTCTCTTGCAATACGGTTCCGATTTAATCATTACATAATTATGATAATCGTTCGTGTACTTTAATGCATCGTTATTTCGTTTCTGTTTCAGTCTCCCATTGGAATTCGAAATCGAGAAGACTTGTTGAAACCTGTAAAGACATGTCGGCGTTTCGCGACCAACGAAGTATGTATTTCTAACATTTTGCTATTTCCTCATTCTAATCAATCATTGTTTAATCATGATTTAATTTGTATTTCATTTCTGTTGCAGTCTCTGATTGAAATTCGACGCCATGGAGAATTCTATTGGCGCGTAAGGTACGCCATTACAGATGGCAGACGAGTCGACAAATTCTGGAGGGAGTATTGGTAACGTTTAAATAATTAGAAGAAAAATTAACATCAATATTAATATTTATACATTTTTATCGCTTAATCACGTTATTAGTTGCAAGCATGATCGTAATTTTCTAATCGGTCATTGTTAAGATAAAATATTAAAATCGTCAACAAACTTTTTGTCCACTTCGATACATATCGAAGTATACAAAAATGGCGTCGGTAGATATTAACGATACATTGGAATAATTTATATCAGACTATTCTGATCGCGATTAACTATTTCCGACTATTATTTATTTAATTGATCGTCTATATTTCTTTATGAATTGTTGTAATTGCAATTTGCATACATATTTCGATACAAGTTTCATAAAACTTAGTAAACTGCGAAGTTGAAATATGCTATTCAAGCATAAATAACTAGCGAACTTTAATTCTTGCAAATTTCGGAATATTTATAAAAATTACCGGATATTCTAACGTTCGATAAAGCAAACATAATCATGCTTACAACTCTAACTATGAAATTTAGTGATATAATATTTATAAATTGAATAATTACTTGTACGTAATTATTTTCGTAGATAATATTTTATCGTTGAAATTCTCATTGAGAATATTTCGCCTTCGTGGCATTGAAAGTTTACGTGGTAAACTATCTGTACAATAGTATTAAGTAAAGCAGTATTTCTGTTGACGAACTTTAGTAAGAAGATGAAAAGAGAAAACCAGTAGGCTAAGCACAGATGTGCTTGTTGTGTTTCTTGTTTCCTGTCCTTTTCTTTCCAGGAAATTTGTTGGCCGCGCGCAATGCGGCCGGTAGATACAGTGATTGAGCGTAGCAAACAAGTTTGTTTCTCGGGGCAAAGTGACCCCGAGCACGTTATCGTTCACGGTGTTAGGCAAACGCGAGCATAGAAGCAGTGTTTTCCTACGCAAATTAAAATTATTTCCAGAGCATCGTGGCTCTCCTTGTTTTCTCAATCGCGATAATAGAGTCATTTGTTCGCCGATTTCAATCTTCGGTCGCGGTAATCTAATTAAATATTTTCCAATCAAAATAATTATTTTTTCAATTTGAAATTTAAACTCCTCGTTACCGGAATTAGAATCAGTGCATCACCGAAGAGGATTATTTGGCGATGCTCCACGAGCAAACAATGTAAATATAAATTTATACTTTGAAATTTTTAATTAAAAATCTCTACAGTTTTAACAATAGATTTTAATTGTTTTCTTACAGTTTTCTTACAGTTTCTGAACATGATCCTGGGAACCAGTAGCAGTACCCGGGGGGTATCGGGCGGTGGATCATGAGCGAACAACGTAAGTATAAATTTATACTTTGAAATTTGTTAATTAAAAATCTCTATAATTTTAACAATAGATTATAATTGCTTTCTTATTCTTTATAGCAGGACCATGCAGGGGGCTTTGATGACTTCCACTGGGCAGCAGCAGCATCATTATGCAGTCATCCCAGAGGCACAAGATCATCACTGGTGAGTCGCATGCTATTTGTGTTCCTCTGGTCCCCAACCATGTTGTAGGATGAAAGATCCGAATCAACACGGGTGACCAGTTGTATACTTAGTATTTTTGACGAGTTAAGTGACCGCGGGTATGAAAAATACCCATGAATTATGTTTTTTTAGTGCAGGCTAGGGTCTTCTTGCACTCGCGTTTTTTAATGTTATCAATAAATATTACACAATTTTGATACAATATATGAAATATGTTTATTAACTTTATATGAATTAAATAGTTGAGTAGAATATGAATTAATACAATGTGAAAACATTATAAATTTCAGTAAAATATCTTACATTATTAATATAATTATTAAATATTCGTTTTATCAATTAATACATCATATGATGTATTTTACGTGCAAGAAGGCGTTTCGCGACTGGTCGATTTTCAACTCAAAGGAACATGCATGTTAATTTTATTTTTTTTTAAATTTACTTTGACGACAGAATCGACCAAGGTTAATTGAATATTTTGAATAATAATTTAACAAATTCATTTCAATTTGCAAAGTAAATTATTTTATCATGAAATCTTTATTAAAGTCTTACATTTTGAAGAATTAAATTTCAGTCACAAATTTTTCTTGAATAATAATATCTTTCAATATTAACGTAGTCTGTTGTTGATATATTATATATAACAAGTCGAGTCATTTCAATTGAGAATAGATACCGTTTAGTTAATTATTAATAACCAGTTTTTCTAGTCAGGATTTTCAGGATACTTTTCCGTGTTCGTTGCCTAAGTTCGTGCACATGCCCAGGTGTTATTTGCACGAGCGAAGGCAACGGGGCACGATGACTTAGTTTGTAACATTTATAATAATAATTTATCCGTGCGACTGACAATGCTGGTGTATCGTGCACGATGTACTGTCCACATATGTGTGTTTGTGGTTAGGATGTGGAAGTGCATCGTATCAAAAGTTCATTACAATTCAGATACAAAATTTTTTCACATTAGATTCATACCAGTCACAATAGTGATATTAAACTTATAGTTATTATTTACTTGGTAATTGTTCGTATTGCATACACGTCGATAATATTGTAAAATGCATAATGAATTAGCTTTTCGATCTTATATGATCATTTATAGAATATATTTTAACAAAGACTATATCAGATATATTAAAATGTTTTACATAAATAATAAAAGTACGCAATGGGCACTAGCTTTGTCAGTCGATTCCAGAAGTGGTACGTACATTTAGAGTATGAATGAGGTTGTGTCCGGGTGTCGGAGGAACCCCGGGGAGTCCTCTCTAGTTTAGGTCGCGCCCGGACATTCAGAATGAGAACCGTGGAGTGTTTGTGTTTGTTTGATTGAGTTTTGCAATTTTTTAAATATAGGGTTAGGTAGGTAGGTAACTTATTCTCTGGTGTGTGTGTTTAAACCTAAGTAGGTAGGGTCAGGGCAGGACTGTCCACATTAGTAATTCGGGTAGGCGCGTTTTCGCGTGGCAGTTCTGTTCCTGTAGTTACGATTTCGAGAGTAGAAATTTTGCTGATTCAAACGGTGTACTTGTGCTGTTTGTTTCGGCTTTATTTTCGACTCCTCGAATCGCGCGACTCTTAAAGTCGCTCTCTCGCGCTCGCGGTCGTGATCAGGTCCCTTTCGAAACGTTCGTTCCCTCGAGATTCACCACGTATGCTCTTGCAACAATTCGTACATTGTTGGAAGACTACGTATTGCACAAAATCTCGAGCCCGGTCTTAAGTAAGTTTCAGGCATCGGCAGGACCGCCGAAGAAAGAAAAGGCTCTATATGAGCTGAAGAGGCCCTGACAAACAGTTTCAAGAGTGGGCTACAACAAATGGCTTTTCATCTTCATCTTTGGATGAGAATGGAAAGTCATTCCTTTACTACTTTGTCACTTAACTCGTCTGTAGTTGTAGTTAGTTTATTTTTCTGGCTGGCTCGCGTATGCATGTACCTGATGGTACATGATTGCACCGTACATGCCAGCCATCCCTCCCCATAACTCGCGGTTATGATATACATAGAGTTGCGAATATCCAATAATCGCGTTTGCTTTTAGAGTTGCGAATTGTTAATTTTCGCGTTTCCTTTTCAGGGTAGTGTTGCGAATAATTACCATTCGCGATTGTTTTCATGCAAACTTAGGTACCGGGAGTTTGCTTTAAAAGTAGCGTTGCGAACTATCGATAAACGCGATTGCTCGTAGAGTTGCGAATTACCATTTTTCGCGTTTCCTTTTCAGGGTAGTGTTGCGAACAATCACGATTCGCGTTGCTTTTTTACTCTTTTATACATATGATGGACATCAACCGCGTTTGCAATTTTCATACTATAAATTAGCGTTGCGATCTTGATCAATCGTGCGATTTTTTCTTTAGCGTTGCGATATTTTCAATACCCAAATTCTACCCCAATTGTAGTACTAGTAGTAGTTAGTTTATTTTGTGGCCAGTACATGTCTATGTACATGTACCAACAGCCCCTGATTAAAGTTAGAGTTGCGAATAATATACAATGTTCGCGTTTGCTCGTAGAGTTGCGAACAAATATTTATCGCGTTGATGTATTAGTGTTGCGACTAAACACGATTCGCGATTGTTTTCATGCAAACCTAGGAACCGGGAGTTTGCTTTAAAAATAGCGTTGCGAATTATTAGTAAACGCGATTGCGAATTAGAGTTGCGAATAACTATTTTTCGCGTTTGCTTTTCAGGGTAGTGTCGCGAATAATTACCATTCGCGGTTACTTTTATTCTTACAAGTCGCGTTTGGAATTTTTCTATTATAAATTAGCGTTGCGATTGTTGATTTATCGCGTTGTTGCCCCGTAGTGTTGCGATATTTAAAACGTCTAACTTCATCCCCATATGTGCCACTCTATTGTAGTTTGAAGTAGCTTGATGTAGTTAGATTATTGTGTGCATGTATGTTTCTAGCTACAACCGAAGACCCCAGCACCTGATCCAGCGTTTTTGGGCAACGCGATTTGCATTAGCGTTGCGAAACATAAATATATTTCCATTAAAGATAGAGTTGCGAATATACAATAATCGCGTTTGCTCGTAGAGTTGCGAATTCCTATTTTTCGCGTTTCCTTTTCAGGGTAGCGTTGCGAATTCCATACGCGATTGCTTTTATCGTTATTTAAGAATAGCATTGCGAATTAACTGATCGGTTTGCTCATAGCGTTGCGAATTACTATTTTTCGCGTTTACTTTTCAGGGTAGTGTTGCGAATAATCACCATTCGCGGTTGCCTTTATTTTTATAAATCGCGTTTGGAATTTTTCTATTATAAATTAGCGTTGCGATCTTGACTTGTCGCGTTTTTTATCAATTAGAGTTGCGATTCAATGCCCAAAAGCTGGCCAAAACGCTGGCCACTGCATCAGGATCATCGAGAAGCAAGATGGGATTCTGCAAAGCCTCGAATGGCTCAACGTCGTTATTAAAATTAGTGTTGCGCATGATTTAATATGGGTGCACGCGATTTCATTAATAAAGGAACCCGGTATGGCTCATTTTACGAATAATAAGCACCATTCGCGTATAGTTTTTTGTTTTATAATTCAGCGTTGCGAAAGAAAGAATGGTCCACTCACGGGTTGTTTGAATTTAAGACGAGTGGACGTTTATTACAACTATCTGTAATATATCTTTTTTTTATATATTTATCAAAAGAAATACTGCTTCAAACTACTATTGTAAATAGACCAATTGTTTTATGTGAATGTATTTTTATCACAGATTTGTGATTCCTTTAAAAGTGCTATATTATGATTAATTTTATTATAGATTGAAATTATGATTCCAATATATACATATATCTATATCACTAATTGTTCATCATTAGAGTTGGTAATTTTTACGGGATATAATAATCTTTGCAACTCAGTTGTTATTTATAAATAGTGAATTTTTTATAAATATTCCGTATTCTTTGCATAAATCAAAGTTTATTCGCGATCATTGTTTTAATTAATGGAACATAGAATGCTTGCATCAAAAGGGTATGCAAATTGCAATTCGACATTTCATATTGAGAGTTAATTTCCGCGTAGAATCGACATTTTCGTTCGTTATTGCTTTTTATCTAATTTAGTTTTGAGTACAGTAAAATATAATTATTTCAATGCATACGTCTTGAAAAATTTTTTATTTGATAAACGAAACGTAAAATAAAATCTACGGTAATGAATAAAATTTTCAATCTATTTCGTATTTATCTTAACATTGAGACGAATTTAATATTTCATTGAATTTCAATTTATGTTTTTAAACTTTTTGATATCAATTTTTACTCGTGGAAGCTTTAGTTCATATATTAATTCCATAATATCACTTTTACTATCTTGACGGTATATAATTATTTTTTTCTGTGTTCATTAATACACTTTCATTTCAGCTATTAATCCTTTGAACAAGTTCTTGTTACAGAATTATAATCGTTGAAGAGTAGAATTGGAAATGGTACACGGATTGCTTCTTGATCGCTCTTAGGGAAATATTTCATACAATTTTATTTATTCTCTGAGTTTATGTTTCAGGGAAACATCGTGGGATTAACCAAGATGCCAAGAAGAAAGTATCTTTTCATATTTCTTTGATTTATATGAGTTATATTTATTGGATATGAATTTTTGTTTTAGGGAAACATCGTGGGATTGTCAAAGACACCAAGAAGAAAATATCTCGTCATATCTTCGTTTTATATCGGTTATATTTATCGTATATGAGTGTATGTTTTAGAAAAACATTGAGGGATTGATGAAGACACCAAGAAGAAAATATTTCCTCGTATTTCTTGCGTACTTCAGATTGCGTTAGAATATAAGTAAAAATGTATGTAGATTATAAGATAAAAAAGCGTTCCTCCAGCGTTTGATTAAATACTACTGAAACGTGTGCGTAAATTTAAGTGGGGATGATTAATATTAAGGTACATATTAGTATTCTAATATGCAAGGTCCGTACGTGCAGTTGCACATTTCTGGTCGGATCTTCAGTGTCTTATTAGGCACTGTCATAATAAAAACATCCATATAAGAAGGAACAATTAATAATAAAGTACATATTGGTACTTTAATAATCAGGATTCGTACGTGCAGTTGCACATTCCAATTTCGTTTCTAAGAAACATGTGATGGATTATCTCACGTGTATCAGCATTTTGTTAGGTTTTCGATCTCTTCGTCAGATTTCGTAAGTGCAGTTGCACATTCCAATTTCGTTTCTAAAAAACATGTGCTGGATTATCTCACATGTATCAACATTTTGTTAGGTTTTCGATCTCTTCATCAGTCAGAGTTCGTGCGTGCAGTTTGCACATTTCAATTTCGTTTTTAGAAAACATGTGTATCATCTCACATGTATTGACATTCTGTTAGGTTCTTCGTCTCTTGATTGGGCAGTTCTTTTAAGAACTCTCCTTTTGTAGCTCGTTTCTGACTTTTCGATAGCTTTTCTCTTAGATAGGTATTCGAATTCCTCGCCAAAGGAAGGGTGGTTGGGGCGAGGCTAGGGCGGGTCTCCATACGCAGCAACCTCCTCGAGGTGAGGCCTGGGGATTATTATTTACCATGTAATTAATATAATTATTAATTACATAGCAAATAATATGAGCTAATGGCTGCGTTCTTCCCATAGTTCCACATAACTCCTTCGCCCTGGTGTTAGGTCTGATATCACTGATTTCGAGTCGCGAATACGTTTCCGCCGAGTTATTTTTTTAATAAATGATATATTAGAATTTAAAATAAGAAATAGAGTCGAACATTTCACGAGAGCTGTATCTGTAGAGGTAACAACGCAAAAACACATTAACGACACAAAGACGAAACGTAACAGATTTATGAAGACATCGTTACACATTTCTCATAATCACATCCAATATTTGTTCGAATCAATGGAAATTGCAAGACTTTTCTTGTCAGAATAATTTTGAAACAATTCACCAAAATAACAGGTCAGGCGTATGTTCTCAATACTTGTGCACAGTGTTCATAGTCTTTCGAAGTTGGTATCGATGCACATCGTCATTTTTAGTCACCGTTCTATTGAAATGACTGATCACTTCCGAAGAGCGTCGCGTGGCCATTTTGTCCGTCGTTCTTTTACACTTCTCTTCGACATTCATTCTCGGTGATGAGCATTTAGTATAAATCCCATATCTCTCGAAAATATCCTCCTTGTCCTCGGGTATCACGAATTTACACTCATTTTTAGTCGACGTAACAGACTTTCTCGTCTTTTGTTTCGATACTTTCTTGCTTTTTAACGTGGAAGACGGATTAGAAACGTCGGACTCCAACGATTTAGCTGTCGAAGGTTCAGATTTCTCGGATAATCGATCTAACGAAGCTCTCACGCGACCGCTTTTCAATGCACTCGAAGGCTCCGCGATTTTTGAACGATCCTCTTGCGTTTTCCCGTCACCAGCGCACGATTTTAGTTTATCGAGACAAGAAGGACCATCGTAATCGAATATGCTCCTCGAGCAGCGATTGTTCTTCATGCATGCTTCGATCAAATCGGCTAGATCGGGACTGTCTCCCCCTATCGAAGAATACTGAGCGACCAGAGCCGTGTTCGTGTTCGTGTTCAAAATCGTCGATTTACTCTGGCCGATCTTCTTCGTTTTGCCCCTCGTTTTTAATTTACTTTGATCGGTAAGTGTCAGACTTGGCGTTGATTGCTCGCTTCTGAGAGCCTTCGATAGCGTCGAACTTCTCGGTTTAGCTGAACCAGGCTTCTCTTCACTCGTATTCGTAATTTTACCATCAGCTCTGAGAACTTTGTTACGCGAATTTTGACCTTTGATCGATTTTGTCTCGACTGTTTTACCGACGAACGAATGTTTGCTCTGAACCTCGCGTCTCGATTCATTCTTGACGATCATCGGTTGATCTTTCAATGCTTTCGTCGGTTTCCTTTCTGACGCTTGAAGCGACCTGAGAATCGGAACCTTCTTCTCCGAAACGATCTTTTCGTTTTCGATCTTCGATCTGTCTAGACGAAAATCTGATAACTTTTTCGTGATTGGAGTTTGAGTGACTTTTTTACGAGCATCTTCGGACAGTTTCTTCGATGCTTTAAGTACCGAGGGAACGATTTTTGTCGTTCCTTTGGAATTTGCATTGCAGTGTTTTGAAACGTCTTCAGGCTTTGAATTCGTTTTTATCTGCTTCGCTGGATTTCGAGCATGGGGCACCTAAAATCGGGGTAGAAATAATAATGTAAGTGTTATGCAACGTTTGCTAATAGAACAGATGTATTAAATATTTTTTTACAGATTTATAAAATATTGTTACGCTCGATGACACGAATTCGGGGCCTGTTGGGGCAAAGACCAAATTTTCGGTTTTTTTTTTACTTCAATTTTCCATACTACGTGTGTTTAATTGTTTAAGTACAAGTAATTATACTGTGGTGATCGTTAATTAAATTTCGATGCAGCTACAGACAATTACTGATGAATAGTTACTACACAAACATAATTCGAGGGTTGGTACACGAACATAATACGAGGGTTGTTCAATAAGTCCTTAGAAAATCCAAAACCTGGCGCTCGTAGCATAAAAAATGGTCGATTTTTAGTTAACATCGTGACTCACTAGACAAATGTCAAAATTTCAGTTATATCCACCACGTGGTTTCATTTTTATTGTTTATGGAAGCTAGGAACTTCCTCTTGCATCAAAATCATGGAATTAAAATTAGAATTATTACAAGATACAATTGTATTCACTGAATTTGGCCCCAAGTGACTTTTTTTTTATTTCAAAATTTTAAAAAATGACTCGATGGACAACGATTCACGACGAACGAGGAGGTCACCGTCCAAACAGACGATTATTTTGAGAATTTTCCGAGATTTTACTATTTAGATGGCTCAAAAAAGGTGGAAAAACGTTTGGAAAAGTGTATAAAGCTAAAAGGAGACTATTATTGAAAAATCTAACTAAAATAATTTGTTTTTCCATTTTTTTTCTAAGCACTTATTGAACGATCCGCCTATTTTGAGAATCTTCCGAAATTTTATTTGTTAGACGGCTCAAAAAAGCTGGAAAAACGCTTGGAAAAGTGCACAAAGCTAAAAAGAGACTATTATTGAAAAATCTACCTAAAATAATTAGTTTTTCTATCTTTTTTCTAAGCTCTTATTGAACGACCCGCCTATTTTGAGAATTTTCCGAAATTTTACTTGTTAGACGGCTCAAAAAAGGTGGAAAAACGCTTGGAAAAGTGTATAAAGCGAAAAAGAGACTATTATTGAAAAATCTACCTAAAATAATTAGTTTTTCTATCTTTTTTCTAAAGACTTATTGAACGACCCGTCTATTTTGAGAATCTTCCGAAATTTTACTATTTAGATAGCTCAAAAAAGGTGGAAAAACGATTGGAAAAGTGTATAAAGCGAAAACGAGACTATTACTGAAAAATGTACCTAAAATAATTTGTTTTTCTATCCTTTTCTAAGCACTTATTGAACGATCCGCCTATTTTGAGAATCTTTCGATATTTTACTTGTTAGACGTCTTAAAAAAAGCAGAGAAACGCTTGGAAAATTGCACAAAGCTAAAAGGAGACTATTACTGAAAAATCTACTTAAAATAATTAGTTTTTCTCTCTTTTTTCTAAAGATTTATTGAACGACCCGTCTATTTTGAGAATCTTCCGAAATTTTACTTGTTAGATGGCTCAAAAACGGTGGAAAAACGCTTAGAAAAGTCTATAAAGCTAAAAAAAGACTATTATTGAAAAATCTACCTAAAATAATTAGTTTTTCTCTCTTTTTTCTAAGCACTTATTGAATGACCCGTCTATTTTGAGGAGCTTTCAGAATTTTACTATTTAGACGGCTCAAAAAAGGTGGAAAAACGCTTGAAAAAGTGTATAAAGCTAAAAGGAGACTATTACTGAAAAATCTACCTAAAATAATTAGTTTTTCTCTCTTTTTCTAAGCACTTATTGAACACCCCTTCCTATTTTGAGAATCTTCCAAAATTTTAGTATTTAGATAGCTCAAAAAAGGTGGAAAAACGCTTGGAAAAGTGCACAAAGCTAAAAAGAGACTATTATTGAAAAATCCACCTAAAATAATTAGTTTTTCCAATCTTTTCTAAGCACTTATCGAACAACCCACCTATACCAGAACCTCAGGAGTTAGTTTGAATTAGATTTTTCCTATTTTTCCTGTTAGTTTGAATTAGAGTGTTTCTTTCCTAATCTTCTAGTTAGTACAAGAAATAATTACCCTTTGTTCGTTCATTACTCTTTCAATTTGTATTTGCTGGAACAGCTGTTTCCAGTCGCGAGTCGTAACATATAATTTCTCGTGCTTGCGTTTCGTAAACGGTTTGTATTTCTTATACAGTGTCTCCCACACGGAATTTCGATCGAATACCTGAAAGTTCGAAACGCGAGATAAACAGGAAGATAAACACTCGATTTGCGTTACCTCTTTCGACACGTGCGACAATGATGTCAGTTTCACGATGTCGTTCACTGTCAGGTATCTAGCCAATCGTTCGATCAAATTTCTTGGCAACGTTAGGAGCGTGTTTCTTCGTCCTGCAGCAATGTTCCTTATGTGCCTTAGTAAATGTTTACCTGTTGATTTTTTAATAATTTTTTATCGTGGAAAAATTCGAGTCGTTTAGTAGAATCTTTACGCGTGAAAATGAGAAAACACATTGCAATGAGATGAAAATATTCTATCTTTTCGATCTTCCTCTACGAAATCTGTATGAATACAGGGTGTTCATTTTAATGGGGGATTCTAGATGCCAAAATAGGGCGAAAATCAAGAATAATATTAATATTATCGTTGCTTAGAAACGGAAGATTTGCAATAAGCATCCAGAAGAGTCACCGCTTTGGTACACGAAAATTTTAGTGTTTTTGCGCGTGAAATATCGAGACTAGATTGAATTTTGAACGCTTGGGAGGTTAATCGAGAGTTTGACATTTCCAGTTACCAAAAATTCGTCGAATTTCGTCCTGCAGCGGTTTGTCTAGCTCGATGTCCTCGAAACTGGTCGTTCGAACGATCGGTGTCTTGTGCGGGCCGTGCGAGATTTTCCAAATATAGAGTATCACCTGGAATAAGGGAGAAAGTTACGAGGCAGAATCGCGAGAAGTTGTTTTTATTCGTCAGCACCTGGTCACGGAGTACTTTTAGCCCGTAGTAATCTCTGCTGGGTGAAGGTGCTACCGAATACTTTTCCAGATACTCGATCTTACCGCTCATGCTCGACGCATCCGAATCGAGAAGACCCTCACCGTTGCACCGTGAAGTTGTTCCGTTGTTCCGTGATCGATGCAACGACACGAACAGCGTCGCGATTATAAATGAAGGTGTTCAGGGTCGGTACAGCGAGGCGGGTTTAGGATACGTACTGTCCTCCGCTCACTTGATGTACCGCGAGACGGCACAGGGGCAAGGGGAGTCGGGCCGCCCATTTATCTGTCTTGCTCACTTGCTCTCAGGCAGTCCACATGTGTGTGTAAAACTGCCGCGACGAACAGCGAGCTAGAGACCAATGTGTGCGTGGGAATACGTGTGCCCCTTCTACTTCTCCCGCATTCCTTCCGCGGGACTTCAAGTGAGCGGAGGACAGTACGTGACTTTACGCTATTTTTGAGGATTAGGCCTTCAAGACATTTTTACTCGATGAATTAGGATATGGTCGTTAAGGAATCTCCAAACTCTACACGGGACTTGGAATCCTTGGAGCTCTTCCTTGCCTCAATAGCGATTGACGTATCGTAAACCCGCGTTGGCGCACATGCTGCGGACCACCGGGGTCTCGCGGTCGTTGGGTATTTCCCAAAAAATTAATAACAACGCAGCGTTCTCGCTCGCTCCTGCATGGTCTACCTGGACACTGGACGGCAGGGTGGACGGGAATGTTGCTGATTGTTAGGAACCGCCCTGCCAAGGTGACGACGATGAGGATTGGTTTGACCAATCCTCCCTCCGGTAGGCAATGTTCGTCGTTGTCACCTTGGCAGGTGAAACCGAGGCTTCCTTGTGGGAAAAATCAGGACTTTTCGTCAGATTACTCTTGGACAAGTAACTTGATCACTAGTTAGTCTCCGCACGAAGACATTCTGCGTATCAGAAGCACCCAGCTTCTGAGGGTTCAACTAAGGGTTAGGAGCACAGAGTGGCTGTGCGATAAGCACGACCACGATCAACGATTGTTCTATCAAGAAGAATTGTTCGTGGCCGAAACAGAAGGTTTTCATCACGTTCGTAATTATTAGAGGTGCGGAATTAAAGCTCGTTGGGAACGTTAGACTTCTGGATCTCGTCTTGGATGAGAAACTGAGATGGATCACACTAGGGTGGTCTTTATTTTATGATTTTCGATTACTTTTTGACGAACTACCCCCCTCCCACACACACACACACACACACGTTGTGACACTTGGAGAAAAAAAGTTCTGTGCAACATTTCAGCAAGATTAGACAACAGAAACACCTGCCACATTTTAATTAGAATTTTGAAATTTTTATTATTTCGCGTTAGAGTCGAATGCACTCCTATCATCTTATATCAAAGTTATGTGATATTTTTTATTGAAATTATAATTCCTTATGTCGAAAACAATAACGTGAGTGTCATTTTCATTGTTATATTTGGAATTCTATACAACGCAGCCTGTCGGGAGTAGAAAAGTATAGTATATATTAGGGTGGCCATTATTTTTCGAACTTACCATCGTTTTACCATCTTAAATAGTGATATTTAGAGAGAAAATAACGTGCAAAATTTTAGAGTGATTGGAAAACTGGAACCTGTGTCAAATTTGACTTGAAATTTTTAAATTATAGGTGATTTCACGTGAATTCAGGAAATAATTGTATTGTGCTATTTTAGAAGTATTAATGAATATTTTTTAATAGAAATACACTTTCTCAGATATACAGGGTGTTTGGACACTATTCTAGAGGCCAAAATAAGACGAAAATCAAGAATATCAATTTCTTGACTGAGGCTTCATTAAAAAGTTATTAAAAAATTTCAAATCATTCTGAAAAAATTATTTTTGTTTGCGGGGTTCAATTACAATCACTTTTGGTGAATACACATACACCTGAAATCCTACCCATTTTCGAGATAAAAATTCGAGTAGGTACTGATACTTTTAGACGAAATTAAAAAATTTCAAATCGTTCTGGAAAAATTATTTTTGATTGCGAGGTTCATTTGCAATTATTTTTGGTCATTAGTGATACCTTCGAAATCCTGCCCATTTTCGAGAAAAAAATTCGAGTAGGTACTGAAATTTTTAGAAGAAATTGAAAAATTTCAAATCGTATTAAAAAAATTATATTTAGTTACAGGGGTCAATTACAAGTATTTTTGGTTAATAGATATACCCCGAATTTTTACGCATTTTCGAGAAAAAAAAAATCTAATGTGAGGCCCAGAAATGCTACCCTGAAATTTCATGCGAATCTTTAAAATGCCATAATTCCTGAACGGATTGGACGATTTTAATGTTTCAAACGGCAAACAACGTGTATTTTAGTGGAAAATACGTAGAAATTCCAAAAATATTCAAAAAGTGGTTCCTTAACTTCGTAAAATGACAAAAACTCCATTTCAAATGGCTCAATATTCAAACGGCCATAACTCCTACAATAGTGAGTATATCTCAATGAAACTTTTTTCTGAAGTAGGGCTCATGGGTACCTACAAAAAAGTATTAGACAACTTTCCTGTAGAGCGTCAAACAAAATGACTAAAAATCAAAAACGAATTTCTAAGAAAAATCGACAGGGGGTAGGTGCCTAAATTTTTCGGTGAAGAAAAAAAATTTCAAATCCTTCTGGAAAAATTATTTTCAGTTTCGGGGGTCAATTACAACGGTTTTTGGTCATTAGACATACCCTCGAATTCCTACCCACTTTTAAGAAAAAAATTTGAGAATGTATGAAATTTTTCGACAAAATTAAAAAATTTCAAATCGTTCTGGAAAAATTATTTTCGGTTTTGAGGGTCAATTGCAATCGTTTTTGGTCATTAGACATATCCTCGAAATCCGACCCTATTTCGAGAAAAAAATTCGAGAAGGTGTGCAATTTTTCAACAAAATTAGAAAATTTCAAATCATTCTAAAAAAAATATTTTCAGTTAAAGGGGTCAATTATAATAATTCTTGGTCAATAGACATACTTTCGAAATCCTACCTACTTTCGAGAAAAAAATTCGAAAAGGTGAAATTTTTCGACAAATTTAAAAAATTTCAAATCGTTCTAAAAAAAATATTTTCGCTTTAAGGGGTCAATTATAGTCATTTTTGGTCAATAGATATACTCTCGAAATCCTGCTCATTTTCGAGAAAAAAATTCAGTATGGGTGGAATTTTAAACGTTAATAACATTTTAACGAAGCCTCCATCAACAAATTAGTATTCTTGATTTTCGTCTTATTTTGGCCTCTAGAATCTCCCATTAAAATTTTTCCCAGGCTTAGCCGAACACCCTGTGTACAATATTTAATAATAAATTGAACGATAGTATTGGAGATCACACGTAGTGTTATTTTACACTAAGAGAATTATAATTTCACCAAAAAATATGTAATATTTAATACGTTCTAAACTTGATTATGTTATTTTCAAAATTAAAATGCAAAATATAAAAAAAACAAATTCTCATATCTTCAATGTATCAAAAATAACATTGTTTATTATTATAGTAATTTCGACGCCTTTCGATTTTCTTTGTTTCTAATTCAAGTCTAATATGCTATAAATTAATATTCAGAAAATCACAGAATTATTTTTTTTTAAACTCGATTAAAACTTGGAAGGAATTGTTAACATTCCAGAAAGAAATTATTTTCCATTTTAAAAGATACTAAACGTAACTTATAAAAATCAAATTAAAAATTCAAACATTCGACAAAAGCGTCTAAAAAGATGCACCAAATTTCTAGCATCATTTTCTACATCAAATTGACAAATTCAGTAAAAATGATCGATAGTATTAAAATCTATGTTTCTTTATTTTAACACTTTGACTGCCACGTGACCCATATGTGGGTGACAGAACTTTTAACAGTGAAACTAAAACAATTAATTCTCAAGTGAAAATGTTACAGAAAATAAATTTTAATAGGCTTCGTAAAATTTAAGTTGTGTAATTTACAATTGTCTAAAATCAAAGTTTTGGTCTGATTGACAATTTTAGGATTTTAGACTGGCAGTGAACGTGTTAGGATATAAGGATTTATAAAACATAGATTTCTATTTTCCACTTTTTGTTTATTGCGCGATACACTGTGATCCGTCGCGAAAGGGTTAATACCAGACTGTTCTACAAGATGTCGACACGAATCATTCGACGGATAACTTGTTGAGCAGCTAGGCTACTTGTCCCCTCTATTTCCGACTATTTCCCGCTCGATGCTGACGACGTTTGATTTCGTCGGTAACGTGGTACGCCCGTTACATAAACATCAAACGGCGGCACTTACGTAATTCGAGGTTTAAGGCATCAGGAGAGGTGCGCATAACGCAACGTATAAACCGTTCGTCGTAAGCGAAATATTTACACGCTCATGTAACCAATCTCGTACACACGAGAATGCCTGTACCCGACCCTCTCCTATATAATACGCCGCTACAAGGTAAGAAGACCCGTTTCGTAACGCGCCAGAACGTTTCAAAGTCAGCGATTCCGCTCGCCTTCTACATAATGTTTGACTATTAACGAAAGTCAAACAGAAACGAGGATATGCATGAGCCGATGGTGTGTGCTTCCCCTCTGGCGAAACCCTCTGTTTCTTTGAATGTAGACCGTGTGGTATACGTGTGACCGCGTCTGTGTTTCGTTTTACATAACGATGAAACAAACGCTGACCGATCGTGTCTTTCGCTGGAAAACTTACGTTTCATAAAAATCCTCGTTTCACCTTCGTTTCATCGACTTTTACCGCGACGAGTCCATACCGTTGTATAGGGCGGTTCAAAATTCGTCGCCAAATGTTTAAAATTACTTCTGCCAATGTGAGAAACGAGACACTCGATTTTCGGGATAGTAAATAGCTATTTTGACGATATTTTCGTTGGGCCAACCGACTCGTCCCGGCGTCGATTGCGTAACTCGACTGTAATATTAAAAAAAAAAAATTCGCGTTGGGCAACGTGGCTGATACTTTGCACCTTTTATCTGCTTATCGATCTTAATCGTTGCCTTACAGATACAAATGGTAATACAATACAAATAGAATACATTGAGGTTAGGCTTGTATGCAGTCCTTGGCTTTATCTCGCTTTAAACACTGCAACTATTGTATAATGCACGTGTATAACATTTTCTTAATATCGCGTAAGAAATGCAACGATAGAATAATAACAAATATCTCGCTTGAGATTGATTCCATCGGCATTAACACTAGATTGCCCAAGGAAGTCATTTTGACTGCTTTTTAATTTCAATTAGAAAAACAATTCTGTATATAATGACACAATTTCTTAGAATTTTGTTACTTTTTGTACAACATATAAATGCGTTTATTAATAATTGTAGTTACCTCTTCCCTCCTTCATTTCCGGTATATATATTATGTGTTATACCTATATTGCCCAAAAAAGCAGTCATTTTGACTGCTTGGGAAATTTTAAATAATCAAATCACTCTTATTATTGAATTGAGTAAATTTCTTATATGACCAGTTCGACTCTGTATTGAAATAACAGTTTTCATTTTTTTTTTATTACCAACACATGATAAATTGTCGATTTGAGCTTACCTAACCCAGACCTAACCCAGACCTAACCCAGACCTAACCCAGATCTAATCCAGACCTAACCGAGACATAACCCAGACCCTAGATCTGCGTTAGGTCTGGGTTAGGTCTGGATTAGATCTGAGTTAGATCTGAGTTAGGTCTGGGTTAGGTCTGAATTAGATCTGAGTTAGATCTGAGTTAGGTCTGGGTTAGGTCTGGATTAGATCTGAATTAGATCTGGGTTAGGTCTGGGTTAGGTCTGAATTAGATCTGGGTTAGGTCTGGGTTAGGTCTGGATTAGATCTGGGTTAGGTCTGGGTTAGGTCTGGATTAGATCTGGGTTAGGTCTGGGTTAGATCTGAGTTAACTCTGGGTTAGGTCTGGATTAGATCTGAATTAGATCTGGGTTAGGTCTGGTTTAGGTCTGGGTTAGGTCTGGGTTAGGTCTGGATTAGTTAATAATCCAAACTATCTTAACCCTTTGCACTCCTATGTCGAGTGTGATTCGACATCAATTTTGATCTCAGGAGCACCTTCGTCAAGTCTCACTCGACATTCTTTCAAGTCCAAACCAAACAGATATCATACACTTGGAAATTACAAAATACAACAACAGTGAAAATAAAACACTTATTTTAACAGGTAAATTTCAAATAGAACACTTAAAAGCATTGTTCGTCAAGTCCCATTCGACATTTTTCGAGTCCAAACCAAATCATACACTTGGAAATTACAAAATACAACAACAGTGTAAATGAGACCTAACCCAGACCTAACCCAGACCTAACCCAGATCTAATCCAGACCTAACCCAGACCTAACTCAGATCTAATCCAGACCTAACCCAGACCTAACTCAGATCTAATCCAGACCTAACCCAGACCTAACCCAGATCTAATCCAGACCTAACCCAGACCTAACCCAGATCTAATCCAGACCTAACCCAGACCTAACTCAGATCTAATCCAGACCTAACCCAGACCTAACTCAGATCTAATCCAGACCTAACCCAGATCTAATCTAGACCTAACCCAGACCTAACTCAGATCTAATCCAGACCTAACCCAGACCTAACTCAGATCTAATCCAGACCTAACCCAGACCTAACCCAGACCTATTGATAAATTACAGTTTCTCAATAAGCTAAAGTAGTACTTGTTATTCGAATCTTTATGCAGTGATACTTGTTCTAACAAGTTGTTTATTTTATTTCTGCGCC